CAGCTGCGACGAGCTGCACCGGCTGACAAGATGAAGGACGCCCGTGAGCTGTTCAGGTGGAAAGACGATCAGAAGGCGCTGGCAATACGGCTATGGCTTTCGCTGGACGACGGCAATACAGCTGCGCAGACAGACGCGCTACTCAACTCGCTGGCTTCGTTTATTCTCACAGGCTACGGCACTAATGAGTTTTCGAGTGGTTTGGTGCAGTATCTAGCTATGCTAGGCATAGATACACAGACAAACCGCTTGCGTACTGCAAAGAATTTCTCGTACATGCTTGCTGGCGTGGTCTACTGCGTGCGAGTACTAGCAGTAGAAAAGGTGTTGCCCGCAGTTGAGCGTGAGGATCAGACCGAAGAGGACATGGAGCAGTTTTTAGATATGCGAAAGAAGTATCTGGCAGACGGCTCGTTCAGCCCAATGAGTGCTATGATTAGTCTGCTTGCATATAGCAGGCATGCGGCACTCAATGAAGGTAATGCTAGCAACGCGCACTAGTCGAATGACAAGAAGATCTTTTATCTCAGCGGCCGGCCAATTGTCATTGAGCGTTTCCACAAAATGGCTCAGAGCATGGAGGCTGAGTTGGAGGATAAGTTTTGGCAGCTATGCTGGGTGGACAACACAGCTGAACGCTTTTCGATTGATCTAACGAAGATTCAAGATGATATTACATTCACAACCTGGGGCAAGTCGTTTGTCACGACTGCAGGCAACAATTTGTTAGATGGTCTGGAGTGGCTGCTGACGAGGGCGTCTAGCACAGAGGGCGGCATACGACTGCAGACGTCAGACGGTCGGTGGAGGATCAAGAAGGTACACGAGTATCTGCGACAGATGGATCGGTTCTTAGAGCTGCTGCTTGGCTGTGTGCATATTGAGTCTGGACAGCCAGCGCGAGGCTCAGAGATTGTGACGATGCGGCACTGCAATAGGCTGCTACAGGACCGCAATATCTTTATTATAGACGGTACTGTGATGACGGTCGTCCGGTATCACAAGTCACAGTCTTAGTAGGACAAGCCGAAGGTGGTTCCGCGCTTTCTGCCGCCGCGCGTAGGGCAGATTATGGCGCTGTACTTGAGCTACTTACAGCTGTTCCGAGAGTTTCTGGTGGTAAGCGTGCTAAATGGTGGCTTAGACGACTACGTGTGGAGTAATGAGCAAGGGGCATAGAATACCGATCGACTTACGAGGGTGCTGAAGCGCGAGACGGGCAAGCGGCTAGGGGTAGAGCTGCACACGCTGGACTACCGTCATACGGCTGTTGGCATTGGGCGAGTCATGGTAGGGGAGTCGTTTGGCAAGGGGTATCAGGACGAGATTGGTGAGATTGATGAGGCGGAGGTGGATGAGGATGAGGAGGACTTGATTGAGCTGCAGAACGCACGAAGCACGGTAATGGGCGTGGGCAACTACAGCGTCTCGATTGATATTGTTAAGCATCTTAGCACGCGGTCAATCGATGCGTTCCGGGCGCTGAGTACTGCTTGGCACCGCTTTTTGGGCGTAGATGGACAGGCTGAAGCAGGCGAGGAGGGTAGGGTACGGCGGAAAAGGCGGATGCGAGAGAGTATCTCAGGGCTGCCGGTAGTCCCGAAAGAGAAGGCCGTTCAGGTGGAAGACGCGCGAGCTGCCGCTGTACAGAGGGCACTGCAGCAGGTG